AAATAAATTCAAATTAATTAATTAATTAATTAATTAATTAATTAAAACCCGAAAGGCCAGCCCGAGCAAAGCCATTTGATCTTTTGGGTTTTTCCTGGCTTTAGAATTGTTTGAAGGAAAAGCTTTTTGCCAGCAAGTCGAGCTAGCTAGCTAGCCAGCTAGCTGGCTAGCTAGCTAGCTAGCTAGCTAGCTGGCTAGCTGGCTAGCTAGCTGGCTAGCTGGCTGGCTAGCTGGCCCATCTTTGTGTTTTGGCTCTTCCTGTCGTTGTCTGTTTCCCCGTTCTTGTAGAGGGCGGCTTGTGCTCTTGAAGAGCCGGCGAGGCCTCCCAGCTAGCTAGCTAGCTAGCTAGCTAGCTAGCTAGCTAGCCAGCTGCCTAGCTAGCTAGCTGGCCAGATGGCTGGATGGCTAGCTGGCTAGCTAGATTGCCAGCTAGCTGGGAGGCCCGGCAGCCTTGCTAGACGGTAAACATTGTTCCGACCCGTCAGCAGTCTTTCGTCTCCCCGTAGCTAGCTGGCTAGCTAGCTAGCTAGCTAGCTAGCTAGCTAGCTAGCTGGCTGGCTAGCTGGGTAGCTAGCTAGCTGGATGGCTAGCTAGCTAGCTAGCTAGCTAGCTAGCTGTGGGGGGCTTTTGTGTCGGCTCACTTGCGAGGTCCGGGACTTTGACATTCTTTAGAAAGAACAAATGAAGCAAAAGAAATCAAATGAATTTAAATTCAGAAAAGAATTTAAATTTAAATTTAAATTAATTTTAAATTTAAATTTAAATTCCCAAATTCAATTTTCAAATTTTGAAAAATGCTCCAATTTCTACTTCGCACACCAGGTGTACAGACACCTCAGCAAACGGTAGAATTGCAAAATGCCAAAAATTTAAATTTAATTTATTTCAAAATTAATTCCAAGTCCAAGTGCATGCAGACAGTTGTCCATCTAGGGTTTAGGGTTTAGGGTTTAGGGTTTAGGGTTTAGGGTTTAGGGTTTAGGGTCTACGGGTGGCCTTGAGCATACTATCCTTCAGGGCGGCAGCAAAGGCAGCAGCAGCAGCTAGCTAGCCAGGGTCTCTAGCTAGTTAGCTAGCTAGCTAGCTAGCTAGCTTCCGTAGTTAGCTAGCTAGTTAGCTAGCTAGCTAGCTAGCTTCCGTAGTTCGCTAGCTAGCTAGCTAGCTACGGAAATTGTTAGTTAACTGCAGCTAGCTAGCTAGCTAGAGCGTGGTTTGCAGTTTGCTAGCTAGCTAGCTGACTGCAGCTAGCTAGCTAGCCGTGTAAGGCTAGCTAGCTGGAGGCAGCTAGGGAGCAGTGGCCAGCTAGCTGCAGCTATCTAGCCGTAGCTAGCTAGCTAGCTGTAACGCAGTGCAGCAGAAGCAGCAAATGGAGCAGCAAGAACTGCAGCAGCAGCAGCGGCAGGTGAAATAGTTTCATCTGCAGCAGCAACTGCAGCAGCAGCTGCTGCAGCTGGAGCTGCTAGCTAGCTAGCTAGGTTTGCAGGTGGGGTTTGTAGCTAGACAGCTGGCAGGTGAAATGGCTAGCTGTGGCCAGCAGCTAGCTAGCTAGCTAGCCAAATAAAGGTGCAGCAGCAGCTAGCTAGCCGGCTAGCCAAATAAAGAAAGGTGCGGCAGCAGCTAGCTAGCTGCAGCAAAAGAAAGGAAGGTGCAGCAGCAGATGCAGCGAAAGAAAAATGCAGCAGCAGCTAGCTAGCTGCAGCAAGAGAAAGAAAGGTGCAGCAGCAGCAGCTAGCTTGCTGCAACAAAAGAAGGAAAGCAGCAGCAGCAGTTAGTTAGCTGCAGCAAAAGAAAGGAAGCTGCAGCAAGAGCTAGTTAGCTGCAGCAAAAAAAAGAAAGCTGCAGCAGCTGCTGCAGCAAAAGAAAGAAGGCAGCAGCAGCAGCTGCAGCAAAAGGAAGAATGATGCAGCAGCAGCTGCAGCAAAAGAAAGAGGGCTGCAGCAGCTGGAGCAGCAAAAGAAAGAAAGCTGCAGCAGCAGCTGCAGCAACAGAAAAAAAGCTGCAGCAGCAGCTGCAGCAAAAGAAAGAAAGCTGCAGCAGCAGCTGCAGCAACAGGAAAAAAGCTGCAGCAGCAGCTGCAGCAGCAGCTGCAGCAAAAGAAAGAATGCTGCAGCAGCAGCAGCAGCAGCAGCAAAAGAAAGAATGCAGCAGCAGCAGCAGCAGCAAAAGCTTTGCGTCAGCCGGGACTCGAACCCGGGTCGCAACCTTGGGAGGGTTGCATCCTACCCCTGGACTACTAACGCGACAGCAGCAGCAGCAGCAGCAGCAGCAGCAACACGAGCAGCAGCAGCAGCAGCAGCAGCAGCAGTAGACAGCGGCGTACGGGCGCAGAAGCAGCAGCAGCCGGGAGTAGCATGCTGCGGAAGCTGCTCTTGCAGCAAAACCACCAGCGCAGCAGCAGCAGCAGCAGCAGCAGCAGCAGCAGCAGCAGCAGCAGCAGCAACTCTCCTGCAGCAACTCGTTCTGCATTGCTGCGGCTGCTGCTGCTGCGTTTACTGCTGCTCCATAAGCTGCTGCAGCTGCTGGCGTCGCTGGGCTGCAGCAGCAGCAGCGGCTGCGGTTCCTGCTGCTGCTGCTGCTGCTGCTGGTGCTGCTGCTGCTGCTCGTGTTGCTGCTGCTGCTGCTGCTGCTGCTACTGTCGCGTTAGTAGTCCAGGGGTAGGATGCAACCCTCCCAAGGTTGCGACCCGGGTTCGAGTCCCGGCTGACGCAAAACTTTTAATTTAATTTAATTTAATTTAATTTAATTTAATTTAATAAATAATTAAATTAAATTTAAATTCAAAAATGTTTCTTTCATTAAAAGCTGCTGCTCGTTTGGCTTGGAGTTCAGGTGTACAGACAGGTTAGTGTACCTGCCTTGATGCGGTGTATAGGCAGCTTCTTAATGCTCAACTGCAGCAGCAGCAGCAGCAGCAGCAGATGCCGCAGCAGCTAGAGCAGCAGCAGAACATGCAGTTGCAGCAGCAGCAGCAGCAGCAGCACACATTAATGCAGCAGCAGCAAAGGAGCAATGCTGTAACTAGGAAAGCCTGCGAGCTGCTGCACCAGCTAACAGCTGCAGCAGCAGCCAAACAAATAAAGTATCTGTAGCAGCTGCAGCAGCAACGGCAGCAGCAACTGCAGCAGCAACTGCAGCAACTGCTGCACCTCCAGCCGCAGCAGCTGCTGCTGCATTTGTTGCTACTGCTCCACTTGCTGCTGCTGCTGCTGCTACATTTCTTGATGCTTCAGTTGCTGCTTCTGCAGCAGCTGCCTCAGTTGCCGCAGCTGCAGCAGAAGCAGCCACAGCAGCAGCAGCAGTTGTCGCTGCTGCTGCTGCTTTGCAGCAGCAGCAGCAGCAGCCCCTGCCGCATCTGCAGCTGCTGCTGCGACCGTTGCTACATTCGTTGCTGCTGGCGCTGCTGCTGCTGCTGCTGCTGCTGCTGTTGCTGCTGCTGTAGGTACTGCTGCAGCACTTGCTGCTGGGGGGGCATTTGCTGCTGCTGCAGCACTGCCAGCTAGCTGCAGCTAGCTTTTGGGAGGGTTTAGGGTTTAGAGTTTTTGCCTAAGCCCTAAACCCTAAACCCTAGCCTGGCAGAAGTAGTAAACCCTAATAAATCTTAAACCCTAAACCCTAAACCGTGGGGCCGCAACAAACGCCTACCTGACTTTGCTACGGTGGCCACCTAATTTAAACCCTAAACGCCAGGCCCCCAGACCTAGCTAAACCCTAAACCCTAAACCCTAAACCCTAAACCCTAAAACCTAAACCCTGTTGACCCTAGGGTTTAAGGTTTTAGCACTGCGTAGGTGCCGACCCTAAACCCTAAACCCTAAACCCTAGAGTTCTTAAACCCTAGACTGTATCCCGTGGGCCGGCAAAGTCTAAACCCTGTGAACAAAAACCCTAAACCCTAAACCCTAAACCCTAAAAGCAGCCCATTAGGAGATGAACTGGCCCAGCTAGCTACAGCTAGCCACGGCTAGACGCAGCTAGCCACAGCTAGCTGCAGCTAGCCACTGTTGCTGGGTAAGGGTTTAGAGCTAGGGCTTCGCGGAACGCTGTGTAGCAGCAGCTAGCTGCTGCTGCTAGCTGCTGCTGCTGCAGCTAGCTGCTGCTGCTGCTGCTAGCTGCTGCTGCTGCTAGCTGCTGCTATCCACTGCAGCTAGCTGCTGCTGCTCCGGGGAGCAGCGGAAGGTAGCGAGCACGTACACCGCAGGCAGAGAGAAGTGACGGAAGCCGAACCCGTAAACCCTAAACCCTAAACCCTAAACCCTAAACCCTAAACCCTAAACCCTAAACCCGCGGTCCTAAACCCTGGAATCCGAACCCCCCGGAAAGGAAAATAGGGTTACAAAACGAGGAAACATATAATAGGGAACGTGAAGGAAGCAAGAAGCAGTTGCGCGGAGAGCGAAGGCTGGGCGCGCTGGGTAGGGTTTAGGGTTTAGGGTTTAGGGTTTGCGCAGGTTTAGCGGCTAGGGTTTAGGGTTTGGAGGCTGTGAGAGTGGCGAAAATCGAAAAGGAAATTAAAATGAAAAGAAGGTTAGAGAAAAAGCGTTGGCAGTTGAAGGCGGCGCTGCAGTCGTGCGCGAGCAGCAGCAAACCCTAAACCCTAAACCCTAAACCCTAAGCGGCGCAGCTGGCCTCATTCTCAAGCCCCAGAGGCTCTTTGACCCGCTGGACAAGTTCGAATTGCGTATTTAGGGTTTATTTATCGCCAAAAATTCAGAAAGAAAGATAAGAAAAGAAGAAATGAACAGCGCAGCAGCTGCTGGTTGCCGCAGCAGCAGCGCGGGCGCAGCAGACGCCAGGTGTACATACACTGCAAAGTTCCACGGGGGAGGCCGCCAAACCCTAAACCCTAAACCCTCGCTTTTTTTTTGAGCTAGGGTTTCCCTGGAGCGCGCCTCTGGGCTCCTGCGGGGGCAGCAGGCGGGAGACACGCCCTCAGCTTAGGGTTTAGGGTTTGGGGTTTGCAGCCAGGGTTTAGGGTTTAGGGTTTAGGGTTTAGGGCCGGCTTCTGCTCGCCCTGCGCAGCACACAGGGGCCTTCTTATCGCAAAGCTCTTTTTAAGGACCGCCGCAGGCGCCCCGGGCCTCCAAACCCTAAACCCTAAACCCTAAACCCTCGCCCTGGAACTGGAAACCCTGGATCCGCAAACCCTAAACCCTAAACCCTAATCGACGCGGCCGACCCTCGCGGGGAGTCGAGGCGCTCCACCTCCTCTCGGACGAGACCGGCCCCAGGGTTGGGGCCTCGTGCTCAGAGACGAGGGTTTAGGGTTTAGGGTTTGGGGTTTAGGGTTTAGGGTTTAGGGTTTGGGGTTTGGCCATGGCAGAACAGCCTTCAGTTTACCAGGGGCTGTGGCCGCTGGGCATTTCCATCATCTTCTGCGGCTCCCTGGCGGGCGCTGCTGGAGGTACGAATCCCAAACCCCAAACCCTAAACCCTAAACCCTAAACCCTAAACCCTAAACCCTAAACCCCAGTGGCAGCCCCCACCCACCAAGCAGAGCCCGCGCTTGCCTGGGGCGCGGCTGGCGCACTCCGCAGGCGGGCGCGAGGGCCTGGGGCCCAGGGCCACCGGCGGCTAGGGTTTAGGGTTTAGGGTTTAGGGTTTAGGGTTTAGGGTTTAGGGTTTGCGCAGACACAATGGTGCGCATGGCCTACAGCGCCGCAGGCCCCGAACCCTCCACCAAAGAAATGCTGAAGAAACCCATCTTCGTTTTGGGAATGGTTTTGACCACAGCAGTGGACGCTGCATGCACTCTGGGGGCCCTCACCTTCGCTCCCTCCGTAAACCCTAAACCCTAAACCCTAAACCCTAAACCCTAAACCCTAAGCCCTAAACCCTGATTCCCGCCCTGCGCCTGAACCCCAGGCCCTGGGCCCTGCAGCTGCTGCGGGCGGGCCTTGAGTTCCTGCCGCGGCGCGCAACCCCAAAACCCTAAACCCTAAACCCCAAACCCTAAACCCTAAACCCTAAACCCTAACCCCCCAGCCCTGACTCCCAAGCCCAGCGTTGCGGACCAGCTGAGCTGGTGTATCGCCGTGTCCGCTTGTCGCCGCGAGGTCCCTCCCGACTGTGGCCCAGCGCCCAGCGCCTAGGGTTAGGGTTTAGGGTTTAGGGTTTAGGGTTTAGGGTTTAGGGTTTGCGCGCAGTCGATGGTGACCCCCTTCGCCGGAGTGCACATCTTCTGGGCCGTGCTGCTGGCCCACTTCTGGCTGCGGGAAAGTGTGGGGCGGTGGGAAACCCTCGGCTCGAGTTGTGTAATAATTGGGGTTTTGCTGCTGGTGGTTTATTCGGGAAAAGAAACTGAGATTGTTGCTGCAGCACAGTTTGCTGCTGCTGCTGCTGCTCCCCTGGCCCTGGCCTACATCGCAGCATCTGCTGCAGCAACCCTCGCGCTGCTGCTGCTAAGTCTCAGGCTTTGTCCCCTTGCTCTCGGCTCCTGGGACCTCCCCGTTCAGGTGGGAGTTAGGGTTTAGGGTTTAGGGTTTAGGGTTTAGGGTTTGGGGTTTGGGGTTTGGGGTTGAGGGCGAAGCGGAGACGCGCCTGCGGCGAGAGCGGCTGTGCAGGCTCGCGGCTGCTGCGGTTTGGGGGAGGGAGAGCCGCGAGGGTTTAGGGTTTAGGGTTTAGGGTTTAGGGTTTAGGGTTTAGGGTTTGTGCAGCGCCTGTCGCTCGCCCTGGCCTCGGGAGTCTGCGGTGGCAACACAAATGTCTCTGCCAAGTTCTTGACAATTGCGGCCACTCAGTTGTTTAAAGGAGACACTTCTGTCTTGAAAAGGTACTTTCACTCATTTAGGGTTTAGGGTTTAGGGTTTAGGGTTTAGGGTTTAGGGTTTAGGGTTTCGGGTTTGGGGTTTACGTGGTTGCTTGGTGGGATTTGTTTACTGTTGGTGGTTGCGGCTCGCCAGCGCAGTTCTATCGCCTTGCAAGCTCTAAACCCTAAACCCTAAACCCTAAACCCTAAACCCTGGGGTTTAAACCCTAAACCCTAAACCCTGAGGTTTAAACCCTAAACCCTAAACCGCAAACCCTTTTTTTTGCTTGCAGCTGGGAAGCCTACGCGGTTCTGCTGGCAACGATCACTTTGGCGCTTTTGCAGCTCATCTTTTTAAACACTGCTCTCAGGAAGTAAACCCTAAACCCTAAACCCTAAACCCTAAACCCTAAACTCTTAGCCCTCTAGACCCGCAAAGCTGCGACAGTGGCCACTGTGGACTGCCACCTTTTCTCTAGCAACGATTTTTAAGCAGGAGTTGTACCTGCTGTTTAGGGTATAGGGTTTAGGGTTTAGGGTTTAGGGTTTAGGGTTTAGGGATTAGGGTTTAGGATTTGAAGATTAGGGTTTCCTTATCTCCAGCCAAGTCCACCAAACGGCCGCAGCATTTCTGCGTTGCAGCAAAGCCAACTGGAATATTTCCAGCATTCAAATCCTCTCTTTTAGGCTCTGGAGTTTAGGGTTTAGGGTTTAGGGTTTAGGGTTTAGGGTTTGCGCGAAGGTTCGAGGCGATC